CTCTACGTTCAATGAGTTGTGTAAGCATTGTCTTCAGCAATTGGGGCCATGAAATCAGTTTGTGGAAAGCAACCTATACCTAGTCTTGGTGATAGCCCGGTTGTTTGAGGATTTCTATGGGACCTCTTTGGCCAACAACTCAATTATATGTAATCCAATCATTGAACTAGAAGCTTCATTTGGTGACAAGAGATGGCCAGTTGCAGTTCCATCTCCCCATTATTTGGTGACTTTGTTTAGATCACCTTCATATATGTATATATTTTAGGAAGCTTCTACTGTAGTGGGTTTCCATGTGACCCCCCCAAATGACCCTTAATTTTAGCTATCTCTCCTTGTATTCCCTCCCTCGTCCCCTCTTCCCTCTCTGTCTCCACTAGATCCTCTCATTCCAGTCTCTGCCCCACCCCGTCCATAACTATCTATTCTATTTCCTTTTCCTGTGGAGATCTATCAGTCTCCCTTCAACCCCCCAGTCTCTTACTCATTACCCAGCCTCTGTGGTTCTACAGATTGTAGCTTGAGTATCATTGGCTTAACAGCTAGCATCCACATCTAAGTGAATATATACCATTTTTTGTCATTCTGGGTCTGCATTAACTCACTCAGGATTCATTTTTTTTCTAGTTCCATCCATATCCCTGCAAATTTTATGATTTAAGTTTTTAATGACTGAGTAATACTCCATTATGTAAATGTACATAATTTTCTTTATTCATTCTTCTGCTGAGGGACATCTAGGTTGTTTCTAGTTTCTGAATATCAATAGAGCAGCAATGAACATAGTTGAGCAAGTGTGTCTGTGGTAGGACAAAATGTCATTTGGGTGAACATCCAAGAGTGGTATTGCTGGATATTGGGGTACGTCCATGCCCATCACCCTGAGAATTCACCACACCAGTTTCCATAGGAGTGGTACAAGTTTGCACCCCTACCAGCAATGAAGGAATGTTCCCCTTGCTCCACTTTCTTGCCAGCATGAGCTGTCACTTGTTTTATTGATCTTAGCCATTCTGACAGCTGTAAGATGAAATCTTAAAGTAGTTTTGATTTGCATTTCCCATGTGAGTAAGGATATTGAACATTTCTTTGAGTGTTTCTCATTTTGAGTTTCCTCTTTTTAGAATTCTTTGTTTAGATCTGTACCACATTTTTTAATTGTTTGTTTTGGGTTGTTTGTTTTCTTCATATCTAGTATTTTTAATTCTTTATATATTTTAGATATTAACCCTCTATCTAATAGAGGAGTCAGTAAAAATCTTTTCCCATTCTATAGGCTGTCACTTTGTCTAACTGACAGGGTCTTTTGACTTGTAGAAGCTTCTTGGTTTCATGAGGCCCCGTTAATTAATTGTTGATCTTAGTACCTGTGCTAATGGTGTTGTGTTCAGAAAGTTGTCTCCTGTGCCAATAAGTTCAAGGCTATTCCCCACTTTCTTTTTTATCAAGTTCAATGTTGAGGTCTTTGATCCATTTGGAGTTGAGTTTTGTGCAAGGTAGTAAGTATAGGTCTATTTGGAGTCTTCTACATGTAGCCATCCAGTTTGACCAGCACAATTTACTGAAGGTGCTGTCTTTTTTTCTGATGTGTATTTCTGACTTCTTTATAAAAAATAAGATGTAAATGGGTGTGTTAGCTCCAGCATTTTTCTGTTTAGTTTTTGTCTAGATGATCTGTCTATTGGCAAGAGTAGGGTATTGAAGTTTTCCACTATCAGTACGTGATTTAAGCTGCCATTGTGTTTCTTTTATGAACTTGGGTGCCCTTGTGTTTGAGGCATAGACGTTAAGGATTCCAGTGCCCTCTTAATGGATTTTTCCTTTGATGAGTATGTAGTGTCCTTTCCTATCTCTTCTGATTAGTTTTGGTTTGAAGTGTATTTTGTCAGATATTAAAATGGTGACACCAGCTTGCTTCTTAGGTTCATTTGTTTGGGATATCTTTTTCCATCCTTTTACCCTGAGGTGGGGTCTCTCCTTGCTGTTAAAAATGTGTTTCTTAGATGCAGCAGCAGGAGAGATCCTATTTTTTCATCCATTCTATTAATCTGTGTCTTTTTATTGGAAAATTGAGACCATTAATATTGAGAGATATCAAGGAGCAGTGCTTGTTGATTCCTATTATTTCAGTTTTGGGGTGTAAGTGTGTGTTTCTCCTCTTTTTATTTTCTTGTCTGGGATTATTTATTCCTTGTGTTTTCTTGGGTATAGTTAACTACTTTAGTTTAGAGTTTTCCTTCTAGCACCTTCTATAAGGACAGATTTGTAGATATTGCTTAAATTTGGTTTTATCCTGGAATGTCTTATTTTCTCCATCTACTGTGATTGACAGATTTGCTGGGTATAGTAGTCTGGGCTGGCACCTGTGATTTCTTAGAGTCTGTAGAACATCTGTCCAAGTCCTCTATTGAGGAGTCAAGTGTAATTCTAATAGGTTTACATTTATATGTTACTTGGTCTTTTTTCCTTGCAGCATTTAATAGTCTATTTGCTTTATATGTTTAGTGTTTTGATTATTACGTGCTGAGGGGAATTTCTTTTCTGGCCTAGTCTGTTTGGTGTTCTGTATGCTTCTTGTACCTTGATAGGCATCTCCTTCTTTAGGTTAGGGAAATTTCATCTATGATTTTTTTAAAATATTTTTTGTGCCTTTGACCTGTGTTTCTTGGATGTTTCCTGGATGTTCTGTGTCAGGAGGTTTTTAGATTTAACATTTTATTTGACTGGGGTGTCTACTTCTATCATATCTTCAAAGCCTGAGATTCTCTTGCCCATCTCTTTTTTTTTTGTTTTTTTTTTTTTTTTTTGGTTTTTCGAGACAGGGTTTCTCTGTGTAGCTTTGCGCCTCTCCTGGAACTCACTTGGTAGCCCAGGCTGGCCTCGAACTCACAGAGATCCGCCTGGCTCTGCCTCCCGAGTGCTGGGATTAAAGGCGTGTGCCACCACCGCCCGGCTTGCCCATCTCTTATATTCTTACACTGATGAGGCTTGCCTCTGAGGTTCCTGTTTGGGTTCTTAGGTTTCAGTTCCAGATTTCTCTCAGTTTGGGTTTTCTTTATTGATTCTAGTTTTACTTCCGGGTCTGGAATCGTTTTTGTTCATTTCCTTCCACTATTTGTGTGTTCATAGATTTCATTAAGGAATTTATTAATTTTCTCTTTAAGGACTTCTATCATGTCTATAAAGGCTAGTTTTGGGTAATTTTCTCATGCTTCAGCTCTGTTGCAGTACTTTGGGCCTACTGTGGTAGGGTTGCTGGGCTCCAATGGAGACATATTGTCCTGGCTATTATCTATTGTGTTTTTATGCTGGCATCTAGGCATCTGAGTTTGGGGAGATTGTAATTCTAGTTGCTGGAATCTGGAATTGTCTTTGTTGGGTGGGTGCTTTGTTCCTTGGTTTCTGTTGCCCTCTCTGGTTCTCAGTGGAGTGTGGTGGCTGTGTGTTGCCTGGTAGGAAGTTATTCTGGGATCTGATAGGTGTGGTCATTGGGGTTTCCAGGTAAATGTGTTCCTAGGTATTGGGAGTTGACACTTAGGAAAGGGGATGGACTAGAGAGGGTTGAGGGGTGTCCACAGGAGGGAGGAAAGCAAGTTGTTCTGTAGGAAGCATGTAGGTCCTTATTCTCACAGATAAGCACTAGGGGAACCAAGAATATTAAACATGCAGGCTTCTCTCTTCAAAGGGAGAAATGTATGACCTGTTTTCTACCTGGTTAAAAGTCTGATGACTTTTGCGCTGTGTGGCCCAAGACCACACCAGATCATCCCCCAGACCCTTACCTTGAGCTCGGTTTCTCAGTCAGTCTGTAGGACCTGTCTTTATGAAAGATATCACTTATACTTTACAGTTTCAATGTAATCACATCTCAAGCTTTGATGTACATCAAAGTGGGGTGGAGTTAATTATCACTCGAAAGTTTTTACCAAATAGTGCTGTGTTTAAATATGCCTAAAATAAACTACTCGATGTCACTCTCAATGTTTGAACCAACACTGGCTACCGAATCGGGTTGAACCGAACTGCCTTCATGTCTCTGGGATGGTCATCCACACTGTTCCCCCAGGTTCTGCTTAGTCCCCTGGGAATGGAGGCCGAGAGTGAAGAGAGGCCACTACAGCCAGTTTGTCACAGAGCTGGAGAGGAGACTAGAAGAGTGGATATGGAGGAGAGAAGGGAAAGTGAATATTTGAAGCTTGCCTACTGTCTTTGCTGGCCTACTTGCTCCTCTGGCAGACTTGGCTGGCAGGTTCCCAGAGAAAGCCTGCTGGCGTTGTGGGCTGGGATAACAGGGGAGTGAGGAAGAGGATTGGAGGGGAAGGTCTGGGTGACCTTCTAGAGATGGGGGTGGAAAAGTGGGGGAGGCCAAAGCAGGTGGTCTTCTGCAAAGATGGTATGAGACTGGGAAATTGGATTTGGAGGAGAGAGGAGAGTGGTGGAGATCTGTACTTAGCTACCTGCTTCCCTGGCCAGAGTGGCCTGCAGGTTCCCAGGGAATGCCTGCTGGAGTTGGGGGCTGGGGTGAATTAATGCGTGTGGGGAATGGTTAGAATGGAAGATTGTGTGGTCCACTAGAGAGGGGAGGAGGGGAGGGAGGGTGCAGCAGGTGGTCTGCTGAAGAGCTGGGGATGAGTCAGGTAGATTGGGTTCAGAAGAATGGAAGGAAAGGTGAAGATCTGCAGCTAGCCTGCCTGCTTCTCTGGCCAGAGTGGCCTGTGGGATTCCAGGGAATGCCTGCTAGAGTTGAGGGCTGGGATAAAGCAAAGATTGTGCTGTTGACTTTCAAGAAGTGATTCCATTTGGCTCTCCTAGCTTTGGAAAGCTGATCTGTAGATTTTAGAAATATATCTGATACTAATACTTTACAATCAATAGGCACAGCCAGCAGACCATGGGAATCCTGAAAACGACTTTGAATAGAAAGTAAACCAGGTCTCTCTCTCTCTCTCTCTCTCTCTCTCTCTCTCTCTCTCTCTCTCTCTCTCTTCTTTCTCTTCTAGGACAATCCGTTTTTTGACCTGCACTTCAAGAAAGTGTACAGCTTGGAGGCCTACAGCTGTGCCTCTAAGTACTCCTTCGCTCGAACAGTGAACAGGCTGAACCATGTGTATCTTAAGAAGGACTTACACCTCGTGAACTTTGATTCAACTTACATTAACGATGACTCCATTTGGTCCTCCAACAACAAGGACTGCCTGGTCCTCATGAGAATATGCTTTTATGCTTTCAATCTTGTGTGCTTGTCCCTGTGTCCCCTGCCACTTTGAAGATGTAGTCCTTCATCAATATCTGAAGAAAATGGCTCTCCAATTGAATACTGATAGTCAAAAGTTTGTTTTGCCTCTTCTTCAATGGCTGTTATTTATACTAAAATAAAATGAGGCTTTGTGAATTGCAGTGAAATATGTTTTAGTGCAATTCTTCAACAGTTGAGACACTTTGGGTCCAGTGTGTTCTATGGTAACTTTGGAAGTGTTGCATGGTTTGGGCTAAGTTAGAATCAAGAAAAAACTTTAAAATAGATCCTGGGTTCATAAATAAGATTTTATCTTTTGAAGATATCAGTACTGTTTAAAACATTCTTGATATCCAAGATAATTCCTCTAAAAATTCCAATGGCCTGTATTGTAGAAATGGAAAAGTCAGTCTTCAAAATTCTTACAGAACTGCCAAAGGCTCCTGGTAGCAAAAACAAGCAAACAAAACCTTGAAAAATAAGTGCAAAGTTGGAGGACTCACGCTTTCTGTTTGTGAAACTCACTACAAAACTATTATAATTAAAACAGCCTGGTACGAGCATAAGGACAGTCCCAGAACACAAAGCTACCAAGTTCATCCAAGGGAGAAGGAATAATCCCTTCAAGTGATGAGCCTTGGATAACTGGATATCCACACAAAAGAATTGAATTAGACACATGCCTTACACCAGCTATAAAAATTTAAATGACTCATTAACCTAAACATAGTAACTAAACCCATAAATTATTAGAATGAAATATACGAGTAAATCTTGAGGACTTTGGGATTGATACTTGGTTCTTATAATGTCAAAAGAAAAAAATAAGTAAACCAGACTTCATGTAAAGATCTCTTTGCACCAAAGGATATTATCAAGAAATTGAAAACAAACCTTGGAAGAAAGAATATATCTTCAAATCATGTGACTGAAAACGACTTGAAACCTAGACACACAGAGAATTCAGTGACATAAAACAACCCTGTTTAAAATGGGCAAAGGACATTGACAGTTGGTTCTGCAAATACATATATAACCAACAAACACGAGAAAGGTATTCAGCATCACTAGTCCTTAGGCAAATGTAAATCAAAACCCAAGTGTCAAGTCAGATCTGCTTTCACATCTACTAGGATGTCTGTGTCTTTATGAAATGAACATGGGTGTTAAAAGTTATAGAGGGTGTGGAGCAACTGGAGCCCTCTTCCACTGCTAGTAGGGATATAGATGCTACGGCCATGTAAGAAATGGGTTTGATGGTGCGCTGTAGCAACCTATTTCCAGTGTACAAGAACTGGCCCCAGGGAGTCAAGGGACCAAAGAAAAGATGCAGACAGATCCAGGACTTCACAGAGTACATTCTACTGGGGACTTACTGAGAGAAATGTAGGTCTTGTTGGTCAGGATACCTTTCAGATCCTTGCAATTTGGGTGGGGACAAAGTGAATTAACTTAAGCTGGAATGCCCTTGCTTAATCACACTGGTACGAAAGTGTCCCTTAAAGTACTGGAATTGATTGCCTCATCATTCTGGGTTCAGTTGTAAAACACACATTGCTCCAATAATTTGTTTATTTTAACAAATTTAGCAAAGAGAAATTGAGAAGTGCTATTCAAAAGTAGTCATAGAATGTACAATTCAGGACGGCTCATTCCATACAGGCAATTCCTAAGAAGTTACCAAATGACTCAGTATTTCCTTCAGAGGTGCAGACCCAAGAAATTCAAAACAGTGCCTTGAGTAAATAGTTGTATACCAATGTACATACAATTATGTTGTGTTTGCAGCATTCTTCATAATACCAAAAGAAGAAAACATCATGCATCCATCAAAAGATGAATGAATTGACATAACCAAGTAATTGGTATAGCCAAGTAATGGAATATTATTCAGCCTTTAAAGAGATACAAGTTTTGATGCATGCTACATTTAAAAATGTTATGCTAAGTTAAATAATCCACAAATGAAAGGACAATTATTGCATGATTTGCCTTTATGAAATATTTGGAGTAGATAAATTCAGAGGCAGAATAGAGGAAAGCTAAGAGACTAGAGGAGAGGGGAATGAAGGTATTTCTTAATTGTTACACAGTTTCTGTGATGAAAAATTTTAGAAATGGAAATCATGCAACATGGTGAATGTAACTAATACTACCTTCTTGTACATCGAATACGGTTAAAACAGTCAATATAATGTTATATATTGAACATAATTAAAAATAATGTGATAAATAAACAGCACATACTACATACTTTAAATAGGTAGGTTATATGGTAAATGAACTATACAATAATTAGCATATAAAAGGAAAAAAGGATCTCCTTCCATCTACTAGAAGGAAAATACGTAAACTCTTTACAAACTAAGAATGGGGGAAATTTTCCTTACTATCATTCAAAATCCAGGAACAGAGTAAATAATATTAACTATATAAAATACACATAAAAAAACTACAGACAAAGCCAAAAACAAATTGCAAACTGGGAAAAATTGCAACTTGTATCAAAGCCTGCATATGTTCCTAAAGTTGAGGAGTTTAGAAAAGGCTAGCAGCCAATTGAAAAATATATGAGCAGACAGTTCACAGGGAAGGAATTGCAAATGACACTGGAAAGCTTGAAAAGAAACTGGCATTTTATCTGTGGGATGAGCTCATTTCTTGTCTTATAGGGAAAAGCCAAAATATTGATAGTATTTCATCGAAATGGAAAATAAATAAGTCCTTGTGTGTATTACTGCATGAGAGAGAAAGCTGACATTCTTTTTCAAATTGTGTGTGTGTGTGTGTGTGTGTGTGTGTGTGTGTGTGTGTGTGTGTGTGTGACTCTTAAATGTGGTGATCCCAAAGATGTATTGGAGTATCTACAAAATGACATGTGAGCAGGCATGTGTTTGCAAAATGTTTAGATGAGCTCAAGTATCCAATTTTGGAAGATTAATAGAATAAATTATTGTGTATAAAATGAGACAGTGCACAGAAAATAGGGAAGGCTTCAGCACACCCTGATTGGTGATATGGGTAGATTCCCTGACTGGGGTGGGGGCAGAAAATTAGAAGCAGGGGATCTTATGTGGTTGCTTAGTAATACATATTTGGGTTCTTCAGTTTGGCCCTAAGATTTAAGGAAGAGTCAATAAACAGAGAAGCCATTAACTATTAAGTCCTAGGCACTTGGAGCCAATTGCTCTGGGGTTTTTTGGCTAGGCATCCAGACTACATGCTATACTTGTGGTAACTTCATGGACCCGTTACTGTACATAGCATGCTGGGTCCTGGGCTGCTTGCTGCAGGTTGTAAGTCAGAGTTCCGTTTTTGCATATAATCCGACCATTGTTTGAATACTCAGAAATATCTTAATTGTGGCAATAGTTACACCTATGTACATTTGTCAGAATTCGCAAACCTAAAATCATACTCAGAAACTGTGGTAGTTTGAACGAGAATGGTCCCTTTAGGCTCATGTGTTTGAATTCTTGGTTCCCAGTACGTAGAACTGTTTGATAAAGATTAGGAGGTGCAGCCTTGTTGATGGAGGTGTGGCCTTGTTGGAGGAGGTGTGTCCCTGCGGTAGGCTTTGAGGTTTCAAAAACATGCACCAGGCCCAATATCTCCCCCCACCTCGCCTCTCTCCCCCTCCCCCTTCCCCTCTCCTCCCTCCCCCTCCCCCCTCCCCCTCCCTCCTCTCCTCCCTCTCCCTCCCTCCCCCCTCTCCCTCCCTCCCCCTCTTCTCTCTCTCTCTCTCTCTCTCTCTCTCTCTCTCTCTCTCTCTCTCTCTCTCTCTCTCTCGCTCTGCCTCCATCTTACACATCAAGTGTAAGCTCTCAGTTATTGATTCAATGTCGTGCCTGTTGTAGACTAACTCTTTGATATTAAACCCCAAATTAAACGCTTTCTTTTAAATTGCCTTGGTCATAGTGTTTCTTCACAGTAGAGAACAGTAACTAAGATAGAAACACAATAAAAGTATAAGAATCTTTTTAAAATAAGCACACAGCCCCTAGAGCTGTTTGTTGGTACCTTTAAACAAGCAGGTCAACTGATAATGTTGAGCATGCATCTTACCATGTGGGGTGGACTGCAGACACCATTTCCTGCATGGGGTCCTCTTGAAGAAACTCGTGACCACCTAGCAGGTGGGGATGCTTATCACACATGCTTTGCTTAAAGATAACAGAACTAGGAAATGCATGGCTGCTTTTGAAAACAGAAAATCATGTTAGTGAATTTATATTAATATTTACAAGTAAAATTTAGAAGTATGAGGTCTCCACTTCTTTGATTTTATGTGATTATAGTCTCTCTCTTATCCTTGGTTCTTACTGACATTATCATTTGGTGTATGATTTGTCTACCACACTCCTTGAATGAAGCCAAAATCACACTACAACGTTAATTCCTACTAATATTTGGACATCTGGGCATGGGTTTTCGGAGCACTTCCTCATCATCCAGCGCTACGGTTATTCTAGGCTAACGCATTATCTCTTTCTTCCAGCTGTTCCCCAGCCCTCTAGATCTCTGTAACAGAGAGAGATTTCAAGTGATCCTCGACTTTGTTTTCGGGCTCTGTCACACCTCCTTCACTTATTCTTTGGGATTTTTCTTCCCTGACGATGTTCCTTTCTCTGCTGTCATCTGCAGTACAGCTCCTAGAAGACAAGAGAAATACAACACGTCCTTACACTTTTCTCCATTCATCAATATCTAAATATCATAATGATGACAAATGGATCGTTAGTATTATAAGATCCAAGGACTTACATGTGGCCAAAGACATAAAGGACAAGCCTATTTTTCAAGTACATTCCAAACTTCTGCTCATGTCAGGTCCACTAGCAATCCCATTGGTCAAAACCAATTCAAACCCAAAGTCTGAAACAGGGAAGTATACTCCACCCACCAGGGGATCAAACCAAGCCTGTGAGTGAACATCTTTGCTTTCTTGGACAAAATTTGGGCCAGTAGATTATTAATCAACACCATTGCTTCCCACATATTATAGGGCTGCATAATAAGTTTTTATCTTACAACAATAATTATAAAACTCTCTACCCCAAAAATCCTATTGAAAGGAAATATCATATACGCAAATAGAGAGCAGGGAGAAGGAGAGGGAACATGGCTGTGT